GGCTTGTCCGACCCATTTGGAAAGGTCAAACGAGCCTCAAAGCGAGCATACCCCTCATTTCGACGATTTTCGTGTGCTATAGCACACCATTTTTTGGGTGATCCGGATTCCGACGTCAAAAATTCCAAATTTTTTCGTGGTCGTCCGTCAAGACCTTGTCTATGCATACGGTTGGCCATCACGGCTTGTCCGACCCATTTGGAAGGTCAAACGAGCCCCGAAGCGAGCATACCCCTCCATTCGACGATTTTCGTGTGCTATAGCACACCATTTTTTGGGTGATCCGGATTCCGACGTCAAAAATGCAAAAAGATTTCGTGGACGTCCGTCAATATATATATATATATATATATATATCTTATTATATAAAGTATATATATAAGTTGAAATTTATTTTTCATTCATATCAATTAAATTTCAATTATTCTTAATGAATTTTCTAATTACACAACTATCTCATAACCCCAAACTAAAAAATGTGATGTATGAGATAGTTTATCCTAGCACAAATACTTCTGATTAGTTTCACTGTTCAAACCATTTATATTATACGAAAATAAATTTATCGTTATTAGAAGGTAAGGGAATATTAACTTTAAACACCTATGAATATTAATATGTCTAAAGATTAGTGTCGGATCTGAATCAGCATTTGAATTATTGCTGGCATTTTCTATCTTTGTAAAAGGAACCTTAATTGCGTATATGAGTTGGGAAGATCTAGTTCTGGAAAGTGATTTCGTAATTAAGATCATAATTTGTTTAATTACTACTGTAACCTAAATTAGAAACCTTACTTTAAGAAGGATAACATTTTTTTTGAATCGGTTATGTTCTAACTACATGTATTTAGTTTATAAGGTAATATTTTTTTTGAAGATAAGACTTTCTTTTACGGAGCTTTAAAAGCCTGATGAAAAAGCAAAAAAAAATTATAATAGTTCAGTTGGTTTAGAGGGTGATCATTCACAAAAGTGATTTGAGATCAATCCCTTCTTAATGACTTCTAAATAGTTTTTTTGTGGTGGCTAAGTTGGTTTGGAGGGTGATCATTTACATAATTGATTTTTGATCGATCCCTCCTTAATGCCTTTTAAATAGTCTTTTGGGGTGGCTAAGTTGATTTGAAGGGTGATCATTCACGGGGATGATTAGGGATCAATCCCTCCTTAGTAGCTTTTAAACGGTCCTTTAGAATCGCTATATTGATTTGGAGGGTGGTCATTCACACGGATGACCCGATATCAATTCCTTCTCAATGCCTTATGAATTAAGCCTATTGCACAGAGCTTGCCTGGTGCAATTTACGTCCTCGATCAGGTTTGATAAAGTGGATGAAAAGTTCTGTATTTTCTAAAGTAATTAGTCATTTAAGATATAATAGATAAAAAGAATTGTTGTTTTTTAATTTGTTAAATTGAACAAGTAATTAAAAATAACTATAAAAGAAAAACCGAACAAATAAAATAGGACAGAATAAGTATTTGATTACACGGTTGAATGATTTTTTCATTGGTTTTTTAAATACAACTTTTACACATTAAAATGAAGTTATCGGAGATCACTACTATTTGAATTTTGATGTCCATCATGTGGTTCAAGATTTCTGTGCTGCAAAATTTATGGAAAAAAACATCCGTTACTATCTTTTCTTCTTTTCTTTGTAAGTATTTAGAAAAGGGAAAAGGATTAAATATACTCCTAAACTATTTGAAAAGGTTTAGGATATATCCTCCGTTTAAAGCTTGGTTTACTCATGCCCTCGCCGTCCAACTTTTGGTCCAGCTTTTCTCTTATAGGTGTAAGTTGTCATGTTGGATATATCCAACTCATTTTTCATTTCTTTAAATGTCAAATAGAATTGTCATGTCATTTTGACCTTACCACATGATATTTATATGAAAATGGAAAAATATTTGGTCTCATAAACACCTAATTCAACCAATAAATCAACCCTCTTTTAAATAAATTATCCGACCGATTTTTAACAATTTTGTTTAATTTTTTTTTTGATAAATTCTGAAAATGAGTAATTGATTAATAAAAAGATAGGAATAATATGGAAAAAAAATATAAAAATTAACGCGGAAAATTCACAAATAATTATAGTTACCTTAAATTCAATTTCGAGATTTTATCGAAAAAAAATAAATTTTTAAAAAAAAGTGTTTAAATTGAATTTAAGGTTACTATAATTATTTGTAAATTTTAGCGTTAAATTTCTAATTTTTTCATATTATTTCTATTTTTTTATTAATCAATTACTCATTTTCGGAATTTATCGAAAAATAAAAATTAAATAAAATTGTTAAAAATCGATCGAATAATTTATTTAAAAGGGGGTTGATTTATGGGTCGGATTAGGTGTTTATGAGTCTTAATATCCTTCCATTTTTATATAAATGTCATGTGGTAAGGTCAAAATGACATGGCAATTTCATGTGACATTTAAAGAAATGAAAATAAGTTGGATATGTCCAACATGGCAACTAACTCGCATAAGGGCATATTTGGACCAAAAGTTGGACGGCTAGGGCATGAGTGAACCAAACTTTAAACGGAGAGTATATCTAAACCTTTTCTCGAATAGTTTAGGGGCATATTTGACTCGTTTCCCTTTAGAAAAATAAAAAAAAAATTGGCCACACATGAAGAGGGAATAGAATAAATATCACGATCTCTGTTCATACTCCATAAAATATAAACCGACAATATAATTTTTATATTACTCGTATAAATTGACATATTATAATCAGTGACAGAATTAATTTCTTTTTGGTAAAAAGCTTCAAAATATTTAAAAGTAAGGATATGACAAAATCACCACATATTTCCACTAGACATCTATCAACTATAAAAATATTTGTAATACTACTTGTTAAGTGATCTTCTTAGGTAAATATAATTTATCTTAAAAAATCTCTCTTTTGAATTATATTTCTATCTAATTTCTTTTGTAAAAAAATCTTTGAAGATAATCTTAAAAAATAAGTTTGACTAAACACATATTAATTAATCTTTTTTTTCTTATCAAGTGTCATATAGCTATATTAAAATTTAATTAAACCAGAATAAAATTACATATTGAGAATAAAGCATAATCTAATATTAAAACCAACTCAGTATTCAAATATTCGAACCTATAATATATAATTAAGAATAAAAAAAGTATTTATCACACGCAATAAGGTATTAATTGACTTGCCAAACAACATGCAAACATTGTGGGGTCTACAAGGAAGCTGAGTTTTACACGTTTAAATAATACGTTGTTGTTTTCGTAATAATTAGTGGTTGACAGTTTTATTGAACTTAAATTAGTATATCAATGAATGAAGTCTATTAACGTATGATTTTAATTGTCTACAGGCAAATCTAATTAATCAAAATTTTCACAAATCCAACCCATAATAGTTCTCATTTAAACCCATAATTAGAGTTGGACATCGTACGGTAGCTATCAAACTTCATACTGAAATAAAAAGATTTGATAGTGCGATACAAATATTATAGTATTTAGTGATACATTATTTATTTATTTATTTGATATGATATTTGATATTTATAAATAGAAATTGAATGTATTCATATATATATATATATATATATAT